AAAGGGCCTGATTTTATTCACCATCTGACACCTGACACGGGCCATTATCGCATCCAAAGCTCAGCTCAGCAAGGGGACAGCACAGAGATTATTCCCTGAATTAAACAGACCTGGGTTTAAAAGCTAACCGAGTACCTCCCTTGTGAGCACCACAGTGCACCTTCTCCAGAGGAAACTCTGCCAGCAAACAGCAATTCCCCCCAAAAAGCAAAGTCCTCCTGCAGCAGCCGCTGTTACCTTTGTTTTGGGACATCACCCTGCACGTTACCTCGGTGGGCTCCTGCATTTTCACTTGATTTCTGAGCTGATTTCTAATTCTATTTATTACAGCAGGCAGGAGAATTCGAGAGGCAAACCTGGATCCAAACTACCAGTGGCTTAGGGATGAAATTGCAGATTACTCAAGGCTAAACTCTGGGATAACTCTCCAGCAGAAAGGAAAACGGCTCTTACATATCAGAGGCCAAATAATCCCCCTAAAATCTCAGTTTTCCTGGATGTTTAAACTCACACAAACTGAACAGGTATTGATGATCGGTTGTTGTTTCTCCACAGCAAGGAGGAGAATGACTTTCAATATTTACACAGCTTCAAAGCAATGACTGCAACCTCATTTCCCACCCTTTTTTGCACATCCCAGGAGATTTCCCCCTGATCTGGCAGCACAAATACATTGCCAAGGGAAAAGCTGGTCCCCATATGGTCCCTAATTCAGAAAACAACGGACACAAAGGGAGATGGAGCCCATCATCCCAGGCCCCAGGCTGCCCTGATGCTGTGAGCCAGAAAATATTGTCTCTTGCAGAAAAAAATGACTAATTTGGTCACATTCCACGCCTTGGTGAATTATTTCAGCCAAAGTTCTCTGAAGCTCCAGCCCAGTGTCAAGTCAGACCTGCACTAAATCAATCTCTTTAATTGGGAGTTTCCATTTTTGGAACACTTAACTCTGCCAACTTCCCTTTTGGCAGGGGTTGAAATCTCTCTTGGCTTTTCTTGTCTGTATTTCTAAAGGAAAGCAAGCTGTGGAAACACAAAGCCCCTTTTCCTGCTGCCCAGGGTTGTTTATTACCCACACAGCCCCCCCAGGTTGTCCTGCAGACCCATCATCTGCAGCCAAGGAATGTGTTCCTGAGGGGAAGCCCCTGACAGGTCCTGCTCACACCTCTGAGCGGGACAGGAGTGCAGGAGCCGAGGTTCCTTCAGGGGATTGATGCTCAGCTGGAGGAGATGCTTCAGAGCTGATATCCCTGCCCCAGGCACTGTTTAACATCGAGCCCACGGAACCAGAACTGAACTATTCTAAAGGGAACCCCCCTGAAATGCAAACAGTCTGCACAGCAGCTCCTTGGCACCACCGTTTTCCTTCTCTACACATCCCATCCCTCTGCTCTGTGCTGCCTCCTTACACTGGGACCTATCCATGGGCAACAGGCTTTCAACTGCCAGGGACAACTTCAGCTATTCAAATGAGTCTCCAAGACAAGCAGAGCAAAGGCTGTGAAGGGAGGACACACCAAGCTGCCCCACGAACCAGCAGTGGCCCTGCAGGAAACGTCAGAGAAGCCACACAGGACACAGAAGAAAACCTTTTCTTGTAAACATGCTGGCATGGCAGGAACTAGACAGGGTGGTGAATTTTACCTTTACAAGCAGGGTGCAAGGAGAAAAACTACCTATAAAGAATGCATATAAAATGGGAAAATATTAATAACCACCCAAATTAGGTCAATGAACTGTCGGGATGCTTTGCTATGAACCAGTGGAGAGAGAGAGGGCATAGAGAGAAAAAAAGGAACAACTCAGGCCACTGAAACAAAGGGTTTGGACAGAACCATAGAGTCACTGAGGTTGGAAAAGAGCTCTAAGATCATCAAGTGCAACTGTTAAATGAAGGTCTTAATTAAAACAGCTCCAGGAAGGTGAGGGGCATCCAGGGGAGGAGCTGCCAGGAAAGGGAAAGGCATAGGGTACCTACACAAACGTCCCTGCCCTCCTTCAGTCCTGGGAAAAGAAGCCAACACAAGACATTCCCCCAGGGCTGCAAGGCAGCTGGCACGGGGAGAAAGCCAAGGCAAAAGTGCAATCTGAATAGTCCAGACCTGCAGGGGGCCTGGAGCAACGGCCCGAAGGCACCGGAGCCCAGGCTGCAACTGCACCCTCGTTTGGAGCCCTGCTGCCACAGGCAGGGTCCTGCTGGGATGGCAGCACAGGGACACTGGGACACTGGCTATGGGGGCACACAGGCCCTGCAGACACGGGCAAAGCCCTGGCACTGCCACCTCTCCCAGCATGCAGGGCACAGCAGACGCTCTCCCTGCTCCAGCCGTGCCGTGGGAAGGTGGTACAAGCTGAGGGAAACCCCTCCCAGGACTTTGCTCGGTCAGGGCACAGGATCAGGAGTCTCTGGCTGGGGAAGAGGCCAGCAGGAGGGATTAGTGTGCCTGGAGAGAAGGGTTCGCTGAACCCTCACCTCACTTGGCACCTACAGCAGGAGAAACCGCCTGCTGTTTCCTCCTGGATTTATGGGAGTGCCACAGCAGCTCCCTCTGGAAGTGATCTACACTCAGATGGGTGTCCTGATAATTTAGGGAGCTCCCTCGTGCCCTAAATGCCAGCAGGGCTGGGCCTGGCACTGCTCCTCTGGACTCCTGTTCTCTCAGACTCTGGCACACGTTTGCCTCTCTATTCCACCTCTTCTCTGGCATAAAGGATGTAAATACAATATTCACCAGTCAGTGAATTTATTAACTCATCTGAATACATCAGAGGAGTACAATATTATAATTAATCCTATAGGCTGTATAATCCTGCATTAAAATTACAGTCCATAATTAAAATTATAGTCTCACAGGTGACATGTCAATGGCTGCTGATTTAAGAGAGTGAACGCAAAGGATGGACATTAGGGAGAACTGCCCATCCCAGGCTTGCAAAACCCAGGAAAGTGGCTCCAAAATCAGCATCAGTTGGGTAGTAAGGTGTTAGCTGGGAGGAAGTAAATCAGTTCTGGTGCTGGGGGAAGCTCATGTCACAAAGACAATCCCCGTGAGCAGGAGCACAAACCAGGGGTTGTTCACTTGCTTTCCTGGCCAGAGATGTCTCCTTGAGAGAAGGTCAAAGCCCCTGAAGAACAACTTTGGCCTTGCACTGGGATGAAATACTTGGCATTAGAAGGGGAATAAAGATAAAAGCTCAGAGATGGGAAGGTCAGCCCAGTGGTCCCCCAAATGAAGAGTTTACTCAAAATGGGTCCTCAGCTGCAGTGTCCCCCCAGCACACAGGGGATCCTGACAAAATCATCCCTAAACCCCACAAAACCATCCTCAGAAAGCCACCCATACAATCTGCACCCCCAACATTCCTGGGATAGTAAATAACTCCGTGCTAATTAATAACAGAGCTTAAAACTGTGGGAGTGGGACTGGAAGGTGAAATGGTGAAGGGCAGGTCCCACCCGCCCCTCTGTCTTGGTGCTCAGGGGCTGTGATGTCACCTCAGCAAAGCCTCTGTGCTCACCATGACACCACGTTCTGGCACAAACCCCCAGTCCCCACTTTCACTGCCAAGGTTTCCTTCCTTTGCTTCGGATGGAAATCGATAAATCCCAAACAGCAAAAAACAACATCAAAGGGTAACAGCACGTGCCTGGAGCACTTGGGAACACCCCCCTGGAGCTGCTAAAGGTGACTTTCCAACACTTTGTAAAATGCTTTGTAGAAGCTGCTCCTGGCACTAAAGTGCCACGATTTCAGGTTTCTATATAAAAACACATGCAATAATATATACTTATCAGTCACATCTAACAGCCAGTTATCTGCTGCTACAGCACTGTGTCCATTTGACTTGGCATTCTGGGCCCAAAATCCCTGTTCTCTGGGGTGCCAAAGGAAGGAAGGTGATAAAGGAATTTTAGGGAACTTCCCCTTCTTTAACAGAACCTCTTTTTAAAAAGAAATCTTTCATGTTTGATCCAGGACAGGGAAATACTATTCCAAACTAAACTGCAACCCTGCATTCTAGCACCTTAAAATATATCCAATATCATTAAAAACGCATTTCAAACATCACTCCAAGATGACGAAAAAAGGAACTTGTGGGTATTTTGCAGAATTAGCAAGTTTTGCTCGAGAAACCGAGTTCCCTGAGAAGGGTATTTAGTTTCTGAAATGAACAGAGAGGTATTTTTAATCAGTTGGGGCTTCTCACTTTCTCTCCAGAGAAGCAGCTTTTGTACAGACTATTTCAACCCTCTCTGGTTTAACGAGAAGTTGCTACACAGAAATTAAGAACAGTCCTAAAGTGAGGCAGCTGTAGGTCACTGATGAACAGTCACACTCTCCCTTCCTTAAAAAATCCCAATAAAAGCCAATCACTGCATAGGAGGAAAAGCAAAGAGATGTTGCATAGAGCACATGTGAGTTCCTTTTTAGCAACTTTTGGCTCATGTTCAGCCTCTCTCTAATCAGAACACTCCTTTAATTCCTCTTCCAAGGCTTGAGCCCTGGGAGGGAATCAGAGCTCAGACATCACAAAGCTCCCAGACTAAAATCCAACTGTAGATCCAGGGTGAATGAATACTGGGTTTTTAAAATATTTTAAACTCACAATAGACTCCAGCCCCCCTTTCCCACCCTTGGTCTCAGAACAGGTTTTGACTCTGAGTTCTCTGAAGAAACGGATCGTCCTCAACAACAATTTCCTCCACTGCAACCCCAAGAGCTGGAGTTTCTCACCATACAAGGTTTCAAGAGGATTTTTTGGCAGGTCCAACACTTCTGAGGACTCAAATGCCGTGACTGGAAAGGACCTTGGGGCCACCTGGCTTTGGGCACTGACCCGAGGAGACTCACCTCCATATTCACAGCAATTCTCTCCTTTTGAAGCAGTTTGACACTATTGTGTGGAGAAAAAGGGGGTTCTTTTTTCCATTACAGTGATGTACCACCAATAAAAACGAGTTCAAGCTTTTCTGTGGAACACTAAGAGCAGACACTTACTTCGCTTTTGCTTCTGCATCCTCATAGGCTTTGTTGGAGACGTCATCCAGGCCACCGATGAGATGCTTGAAGGAGCTGTGAAAACAAAGGGGCGCTTTCAGAGCAAGAACTGCAGAATCCTTTCGGCTGGAAAGGATTTTAAGGTCAGCAAGTCCAACCATGAAGCCAGCACAGCCACTGCCCCGTGTCTGAGGAGTCCCTTTGGGAGCCAGGGGCTGGATCTCAGCACCCAGCACAGCGGGGCCAGGGCTGGCAAACGTGGCCTCAGAAAGGCCAAGAAGGTCCCAGCTTATCTATCCAGACCGCTGAAATGACAGTGCAAATAAACCTTTCTCTAGTGAAACGCAGAAGAAGAAGTTCCTGTAAGGAGCAACAGGTTGGTCTGATACCTTTTAAGTTTTTATTAGAAGTTTCAAGCAAGGCTCAGGACTGGGTGGGACGCTGCAGTTCCCTCTCACTGCTGTTGAGGTGTCAGCTCAGTCACAACCTCTCCAAGAATTCAATCAGAAAACTGCTCTGGTTTTTTTTCTCCTCACAGCCTTTTCTCTTCATTTTTTCTATTCTCTCCTCATAACCAATTTTCTCCATGGATAAACTTCACTCCAACTGGGAGAAACACTAAAGCAGCAAAACCTAAAATCCCCCCTGAAAGAGTCTGGCTCAGCTTGTGTAGGGTCAGTCATGCTAAGATAATACTTTTCTTATTTTATTTTCCTCCAGCTTCCATTGCCAAGAAGGTTGATCCAGGAACCTCTCCTGACACCTCAGAGCTATCCCTGATAAAAAGGCTTTAAAAACCAGACAAAACCACAAAATGCAAAGCGGAAAAATCCAAAAACAGCTGAAAATTTGAAATGCTGCCTTAAAAAAAAAAAAAAAGGGTACCATCTTGATATGTGCAACTGAAGGAGACAACAAGCTAGAAAAACAGCATTTAGCATTAAATATCTGCAAGCATCAGGTACTTGTGCAGCTCTCTGTGCCTTGAGTTTTACTGGCTCTGATCCATCAGATTTGCATGAGGCAATTTTGTTCCCCCAGCACCCACGACGCTGACACTTGGTAAATCTCAGAGCCCCAGAAAACACTGTTAGCAACATAAATAAATGATGGAGAGGAGGGGGGAAAAGTCACATATAAATAAAAGATGAACCTGAATCAACTAAAGTATAAATATTCTTACAGTTCAGGAGGAGCTCTGAATGTTTTCCAAGACTTTCTGAGTTTCAAGAAGTGGGTGTGAATACAAAAAAGAAGGATAAAGTTGCACCAACTTCTCAGAGTGTCACTGATGATCCAAACGTTCGGAATGAGTTTGGAACCTTCTCCTCCTGTTTTCTCTCCACACAAGGGGGCTCCAAGTGAAGTGTGTCTGCACGTCTTTATTCTGATTTACACAACAGATGCTCAAGGTGCGCCTCTAAAATTTTTATCAAAGGCCTTTTATAGACAATTTCCTGGAGGAGCAATCCATCAAATCCAGCAGATGGGGACTGTTAACTTTGCCCCCCTCAGCCCAACTGCACCTCTGCAACAAAACTAATGACCCCTCCAGGGAGCCCAAAAATTCACCAAGACGAGCTTGAAACAATTTGGAGGCAACATCCTGGTGCATCTGCCAGGATTAGTTCCCAGAGGATGAGTTACTGCAGTGGCACAATAGGAAATACTTCATTAGCAACAGCCTTGATTTTAGTCCGTGTAGGGTCAAAGGCAAGCCCTAAACACAGAAAGTCCAGGAAATGTACCCAAAAAAAGGAATTAAAAATGAATAAAAGACATCTGACAGCTGCTATAAAATACTGATATGTTTACCCTGATCAGCAGAAAATGTTTGGTTTTTATCTGGCTCCCCAAGTATCCAAAGGCTTCTCCAAATTCCTTCAAATGCTTTCACCAGTTTTTTTGACAATTCCCATGAACACTCTGTGGATTTGGCTGAACTTCCCAGGGTGATTCCACGAGCTGGGTCTGTGCTCCACGGCTGGCAGGGAGAGCACCCTCCCTCCTGGCAGCCTGGCTACATCAGCCTGGTCCCATGGAGAGGACAGCAGGCAGGCACCCTGATCCCTCAGCAGAGCTGCCATCCTCATCCCATCAGCCTTGGCACCATCTCCTTTCATGTCCCCTGCTGGATTAGGGAACCTGCTTCTCTAGGAGGGGAAACTTTGGATTATAACGTGAAATTCCCTGCAAGTTTTGCTTTGTGATGATTAAGCTCTTTCTTTCAAGCACACCTGAGCAAGCAGGACTACACTTTTAGAGGGGCTTTTTGTCTTTTTGGGGGCTTTCTGGCAAGATGTCAACTCTGCAAGTTCTCAGTCTTCCTCAGGGGACAAAAATGAGCCCAGTGGGAATTACACAGCCCCATCTGACATCACACCCTGGCAAAGCCAGCTGAAATCCTGGAGCTGGATGATAGGCTTCATCTCACCTCCTGGAGCTGGAGACTGCTGAGGGAGCCCGAGAGCTTCACCAAATCCCACTGAAATTCATTATTCCAGGGAAGGAAGCCACTTAAAAACAAGGCATAAAGAAGGCCAGTGTTGCCCTTCATAGCAAGTATTTTCAGGACAAGGACAGGTGGGAACAAAGGAGCTTAATTCCATGGGACACACCACGTGCTTCCTCACTGCAGGTTGTTTGCTTTGTTGGATCACAGTTCTGCTGCTTTCTACCCCAGGAAAGAAGCTGGAAGTCCACTGTTCCAAGGCCTGCCTGCCCAGATTTGCAGGAAATCACTCCACTGCTTTTTTGGGCATCTTTGGGGTGTTTTTGTGGCTGCAACAGCCCCCTTGTTTCACATGGAAATTAAAAAGCAAGGCAGCACCATCATGGTGAGAGTCTGGTAATTAAAGTCTATTTCTCTATTCTCCTGGTACTTCCATCTCCCACTGCTTCACCCCTGTAACCATTTCATACATATTTTATATTTCAGAGACGCTTTTTTAGAGGCAACATTTCATCTTTCCATGCTCAAGCAATGTCCCATCTCCAACCCAGCTCTCCCAGAGCTCTCCTGGCAGCCTGGCTCATCCCTAGGAAGAAACTTTCCCATATTATTTACTCTCAAACTACAAACTCTCCAGCCACAAAACCAGCCACAAAACTGCTCACAAAATTGCCAGATGCAGGGAGCAGCCTTCTGTCTCTCTTAGGAACAGCTTGCTGGGACGCCCAAGGTGTGACTCCCTGCCTGAGCTGGAATTTCGGATGCCTTGGGAAGCTGGAAGAGCTTCCCTTGGTGCCAAGGCGGTGCTGGTGGGAACACCCACCCGGGCAGCGAGACTGAAAGGCTCCAGCTTCTCAGCAAGGAAGTGGTATTTCCCCATCACTTGTTTTGTGGCACTGCAACTTGCCTTCTGCTGAGATGTTTGAGAGCAGGACACCCACAGAGCGTGAAAATTGCTGCCAGCAGTTACATCTGATGAAGCAAAGAGCTTGGCTTGCAATAGAAGATACGTGGCGGCCTTAATGACACATCACCCCCCCCTCAACGCGAGCACCTCCCGTGGGCACCACAACCACCCAAACTGGGTGACACTCTGGGCATCTGGATACAAAGAGATGCTGGGTTTCCTCATCAACAGAATTGCCCAGTTCTTCTCCACATGAAAATTTGCTCCTGTGGTTATTCCCATGCCTATAAAATACCAGTCTGAGAGAAAAACTATGACAAGAAACTCAGCACTGGGCAGGACACAGGACAACCTTCCCTGAACTAGAAATGTGCTATAAATAGCATCAATTTTCTTGCACTATAAATAAGGTTCTTATAAATACTCTGCTACTAATTGCAGAGTGTTAACAGACTCTCTGGTGTAGATGAAGTACAGCTTCATCAGTTTGAATTTCACTTGTGCTTCCTTGCTGCTCCAAGGGCATTAAATGCTGATGGAAAGGCACAGGAGACAGACAAACTCTTTGCAATATGATCAGGAACGAGTGACTCTGCAATTACTAGTTTTTGGGGTTTTGTCAATGCTTACAGTGCAAACCAAAAATATCTGTTGCAAAAGTGGTAAAATAAAGGGGCATAAAACACTTGTTGCTTTGTGTTTCTCTGAATTAATGCTTGCTAAATATTATCTAATTATTAAAAATACAAAAATTATTAAAAGAGTCTCTTGCTAAGTAATCTAATGAACAATCATTCTTCTTCTCTTTGCCCCAAAAAACAAGAAGGGAATGAGGTGGGTGTTTGATCCACCAGTTCCCTTGGCTGTGCACGGGGAAGAAGTTCCCAGGTGTCCCCCAGCTGTGCTCCACGGATAGACCACATTTCTTTTTAATCAATAATAAACCAACACATCAGAAGGATCTGGATTTCTGAAGTGTTATTCCCAAGTTCAGGCTCTGCAGAACACCAGAGTTCCAGAAACGGAGGAGTGTGAGACACCCGAGTACAAAGCAGGACTGAGGGCACAGAGGTCAGCCCTACGAGGCACTTGGGCAGGGAATCATCTCTCACCAGGACACAGGAAGGGCTTCAGGGGTCCCTTCTGACCTCTGACAGCACCAACATGTTATTTCCATTTTGTGTCTGCACTTCACTGCCAGTGTTTGCCCCTCCTGAGCTGATTCACAGGCACCTTCCCTCTGCATTTCTGGAACACTGGAGACACCCCCTGCACAATGGACACACTGGGGCTGTATCACTCCCAGTCAAACCAGGGAGAAACCATCAGGGGCTCCCTAAAGCTCTGCAGAAGGTGCACACTGGAGGCCAAGCCCAGGGCAGCAGAGGGATGTACTTACTCTCTGTCGATGACCAGACACGTCACCGCTTCGGCCGCAATGACGTTGGCTGTCCTGACATCCTCCCTGCAAGGAAAAACACATTGCTTCAGCCAGGGGCATCATTTCCAGGACAATCTTTGGATTTACAGACATCCACGATCCTTCAGCCCTTCAAACAAATACATTTCGGGGGGGCACAGCTTTACCCTGATGTTTCCATCACCCGCCCAGGCTTCAGGCAGGCAAAAGCTACAGATGACACGTGGGAAGAAAGCCAGACAGGTTCCCCTGTTCCAGCAGGGTTCAGGAGATGCATTTGCTGTGCTGGGGACAGGTTCAGTTCATCCCAACTCACTCCCACCTTTGCAGCTGTGAAGGGTAAGTGGATCACAGGCAACAGACACCCTCCCCTTCTAAACACCCCGAATTCCTTTAGCCTGTGCATTTGCACTGCAGCAGAACCAGATTTAAAGGGGCTGTCAGGAGCAGAAATGGCCTCGTTTAAAGACTGGAGGTATTAAAGCAGTAAAACAGGGTGATGCATGTGCACTCATCTCCCCCTGTAAGGTAATCATGAATTAACTCTAATTGCTTCTGAGATGTCTTTATGTTAATACCTTTAAAACAGAGAAGCAGAAACACAAATGAAAGAAACATTAATATTCAAATGCTGACTTTGAGTCTATTTGCACCGAAATCAAGTGTGTATTAGTGCTAATTTACCCCACTGATAACTGAAATTATGGTAATTGATAGCAAGTAGAAAGAAGGAGCTGAATAGAAGCAGATAATTATCTCTATTAACTTCTAAAACTTTGGTAAATATAGAGAGGATAAGGAATTATGGTATTTAATGTCCCATTAAGTTGTTGTAGCCAACTTTTGCTGGAATACTGATCCATTAAAATGACTGTGCAACCTTTCTGGGTGTTCCCTAATTCCAGTTAAAACTTAACATATCTACCCCATGATCTCAGATGAAGAATTTCTGTCACAAAAAGAGGGTTTATCCCTTTACAGGTCTGGATTAAAGGCATGATGATGGTCACTATATTATATTCAGATGATTACAGAAGAGGAAAATGCACTGAGATTTGTGGCTTCATCAAAAATTTTAACCAAACCTTGACACTGGAGATTCAAACACCCAAGGGACTGTTGAGGGGTTTGCTATTTTATACTTTTACTCCCAGCAATTACTACCAGTGCACAGCATTAAAAGAAAAACTAATTATTCTATGTGTACAGAGTTAAATGCAAAAGTAACTACTCCAAGTGCCCAGCACTAAATGAGAGAGTAATTACTCCACTAGTTTCTATCACTGCACAGCATTAAAGGAGAGAGTAATTATCAGTAAGTACCTGGCATTAAATGCAACAAGGAATTACTACAAGTGCACAGAATGAAGTGCAAAAGTAACTAGTACGAGTGCACAGCGTTAAAGGCAGAAGTAACCGCTACAGGAACGTGGCATTAACGCAAAAGTGAATACTATTCACTGCAAGAAATCACTGCGAGTGCACAGCATGAAATGCAACAACTAACTACTACCAGTACTTCCTGCCAGTTCATAGAACGAAATGAGAAAGCAAGTCCTGGTAAATCCTGGCCCAAAATGCAACAGGGACTTCCTACAAGCGCGTGGCACTAAACACAACCTGAGAGCACAGCACTGAACACACAGGCAGCCACTGCCAAAGCCAGCAATTAATTAGCCATTAACAACGCCTTTGTTAGTGGCAGTGCCCACCCCTGGCACCAGGGAGAGTCCCAGCCCCAGCACTGACTCGGACACCCCTTGGCCCTCGTCGCTGTCGTCGCTGCTCCCCGAGAAGCCGCACTCGTCGTCCGGGGAATCGCCGTCGCTCTCGGAATCCTCCATGGCCCCTGCCCGCTCCAGCTTTTCCCTGGACACAGCCCTGCTTCCCCCGGGGCTGTTACTATATTCTGCCCTCTGGTATTTAGCAGCTCCTCCAGCTCCAGGCTCGGGCACCTGGAGAAAGGTCACAGCTGCTGCCGCGGGATTTCTCGGGGGAATCCAAGCGGAGGGGATTTGGGAGCTGTCCCGAACGGCTCCGTGGCCGGGCACAAGCGGGCTCGTGCCCAGACTGCGCGAGGAGAGCTCGCCTCAGCCCCCTGGCCCCGTGTGGAATGAGGTGGCAGCGGAACCCACGTTCCCCAAGCTCTGGCAGAGCGTGCCGTGGGTGAGCCCGGACTGGGCTCCACGAGCCTGGGGTGTCCCTTCCCGCTCGGCACACTCTGGGATCACCGAAGAGCTGAACTGCACGGATCTCCTTCTCTTGTCGGGGTCTGCAGCCCGGTTCACCCCGTCAGGAAGATTCAACACTTCTGCTTCTGATGAGCCCTCAGCGACTTCATTTCAGAAGAGACAAGGTCATACGCCAGCCTCTGCTCCCTGCTTTGGCTTCAGGTTCTCACCATTTGTCTGGAATTGAAAAATATTTGGGATGCTTCCCAACGTTTGGGGTTTTATTAACCTTCCTCCATCCCCAAAGTGATGGAAGTCCTGCTCCAACACCGGCTCCCAGAGCTCCTGTTGCATCTAATGCCTTTAGAATATGCTTCAAAATTCTTCAAATAGGGGGAAACTTCATTTGGATGGTTTCATTTAACATTATCCCACTCTATTTGCTTGAAACTTACTGGTTCTGGGGATCCAGTTCCCGCAGTGCAGCCTCCTCACCTCCTCCAGGCTCTTGGGCTCGCCTCCTGACTGGCATTTGGCACTCAGAGACATCTTTCGGTCTCCAGGTAGGCCAATCCCTCTCTTTAGAGGTCAGAAGAAAACCAAATCTGGGTCCACTCCTCACAATACCCAATAAAGAGAATTTTTATCTCCCACCTGAAAGTCACGGTGTGATCAGAAAATACCCAATTAACTCAAAATGGAGATAGAGATGCTGAGGTCTGAGCTATTACAGATAAATTCAACTCAAGGACTGATTCTTCCCATTTTTTTTCCTCCTTTCACTTATTTCTAACATGTCCTAAATACTTTCAATCAACCTTATTAAAAATACTGTAGCAAGGTCAAGTGTGCAGTGCTGGAAAGTGATAAAAAGCATTAAGGAAATGGAATATCAGCAAATCAGAACCTCTGGAGAGTCTTCCCAGGGTGCATTTATAAAATCCATCAGGGAAGATCTAATTTCTTATTTCTTTTCTTTGAAAACCTTCATTAACACTCTTTTAAATGAGCTAAACCTTCATTAAGTCCCCACAGGATGTGAGATTTCTGCCACCACCCCCTCCAGGTTCTGCAGTCACTGCCCCAGCTCTTGGTGGCCTGTAAAAAACCTGTTACTGCAATTAATGACTACAACTTCCCTAAATTTTAAGGTGAAGAGAATAAAGTGTGCCATCTGAAAAAGCTCCACCGGAAAATAAAACCTCTGAAAATCCCCCCAGGCATTAAAATCTCTCCTTCCCTAAAGGGATGAACTACAACAGGAGAGATTTTCCTCTGAGCTATCCCAGCTGGAAGACACATAGCAAAAATCCTGGGTGATTTAGGCTCTGTTGGGCTTTAAGAGACCGACATTTCAGCTTGTGCAGACAAAAAATGCCTCAAAAACCCAATTTTACAAGGTTTTTTCAATGGAAGCACACTGTACAACCCTCCAAATGGGCTAGAAAACGTCCCAGCAACCTCTGCTCACTTGTTTCATGCCTTGGGAGCTGGTTATTAGCACTTACTGGCTGTTTCTAACACGTATTTCTATTCCCAGTGGTTCCCAGCTGAAGGGCTTAAGCCCTGCCAGGGATTGCCCAACAAGATTTTCCCAGGGGGAAAAAAAAAAAGAAAAAACCAAACCAAACCAAACAAACAAACCCCAAAACAAAACAAAACAAAAAAACCCAAACACAAAACAAAACACACCAAAAAAAAGGAGTCCTTTCTGCAAACCTGCTTTAATAGTGATGAATTTAAAGGCTCAGAGTAGTGAACAGGCTCTGAAGGCTCAGGACAGAATACCAAAGCCACTCCTGGCTGGGGGGAAGCAAAGGGGAGATGCAGAGGGCAAGAAGGATGGATGACACAGAGAAGTATTGAAAACTGGTACAAAATCAGCCCCTGGGAGCCACCTTCACTTTGTAGCCGTGACCAGCCCCTGCCAGTGGCTCAGGGAACACAGAGGGTTGTGTCACTGAAACTGCTCCAAGAGCTGACAGGGGGATACAAAGCCTGGCTCCCCCAAACTGGCACCAGAGGGGCATCTGTGGACAGGCAGAGCCAGGGCTGTGTCCTGGTGTGGGGAACTCCTGCAGCTGGGGCTACAACATCACGGGGTCACAGATTATTCCGGGTTGGGAGGGACCCACAAGGGTCCCCGAGTCCAACTCTGACAGCAAAGAGCCCACACAGGGATCAGAGCCAGGAACTGGGGGGGTTCATCCCCACACTCCAGCCAGCTGAGCTCACCTCAGCCAAAGGGTCCCACAGGAAACAGTCCTGGCATTATTATATTTATATAAACATGTAATATAAACGATAACTCTTTATTTAGAGTTTGCTTGTTTGTTTATTTATACACTTCTGGTAGATTCTCACCCCTACTTAACCCATAATCACTGCAAACTCCTGGGGAAGCAATCCATGGCTTCTGCCACAACTGATTTAACCCACAAGTGCTTTTCCCGAGGGGTAGGTTAGTAAGTCACCATTATTTTATCCCAGTCAAATCAAACTGGGATCTGGGAGCTAAGGTACCACAACGTTTGTGTTACACTCGAATAACACAAACACAAGCACTGTGCTTGGGCAACGGCCTTTGAAACCACCTGCAAGGGGTTCTCTGGTCACAGCTCCTCTCACAAGAGGCTGGGTATACAAAAATATCAGTAAATGTATTTTGTGGGTGAGTCAAGCAATGCAAGAGGAGCTCGAGTGAGGTGTATTAGATTGAACAGGCAGCAATTAACCTCAGCACTGCCAGAACTGATTATGTCCCAGCACCGCTGATATATTGACTTCATAAACCCCCAAACCCAGTTACACAAGGGCTGGAGAGCACTACAACACAGCCTCAGAAAATCAAGTCCCAACTCCATTTGCTGCAGC